TTTAGAAGAGGCTACCTTTTTGTCCTTACTGCCCTTGGCAGATTTTGACTTAGGCGGGAACTTCTTCTTTTTCCCTTTAAAGCTCTTCTTTTTGGCCGGACGTTTGAATGGCTTGCTCTTCCTCACCATAAGCATGTCATGCTTGCCCTCATCCTTGAGGGTTTGCTCGGCTTACTTCAACATACCATGAAGCTCGGTGAGGGTTTTCTCCATACTATGCATATTATAGTTCATTTTGAACTGATCATAGCCTTTGTGAAGCGAGTGGAGAATGATGTCAATTGCCATCTCGGTTGAATACCCAGCATCAAGCCTTTCCATGTTCTCAAACAATCCAATCATTTTGAGGACATGCGGGCTGACTTGCTCTCCTTTCTTGAGCTTGCTCTCAAGGATATGCCTGTGGGTTTCGAACCTTTCAGTTCGGGCCTGCTCTTGAAACATATTCTGAAGCTCATAAATGATCTCAAAAGCCGTCTCCTTTTGAAAGAAATTCTTTTGAAGGTCCGGAGACATAGTGGCCAACATGATGCATTTGACATCCCGATTGGCACTTTGCCATCGGTTAAGGGCAGCCTGAGTGACTTCCTCATTGGGAGCGTCAGGCATTTCCTCATCAAGGACGTATTCCTTTTGCTCTTGCATTAGTACAATGCGGAGATTTCTTTGCCAATTAAGAAAGTTTGGCCCGCTCAACTTCTCCTTGTCGAGAATTGAGCGTAAAGAGAAACGGTTGTTGTTTGAGTTACTTGCAGACATGGTTCTACAATTAAAAGAATTTGAAATGAAAAACCATTCATAAATCAATAAGTTGAAATTTAAGACGTTCATACAAATATTCAATCTTATTGAGCATTTTATCCACGCATTTATAAAATTGTCCCTTTTAGGCGAGAATAAAATGATTCCGAGATCCCAAAGATTAAGAAATGGTTAAGCATGCTTTGGCTTGTCTTAATCATTAAATATCTTAAGGTAAGCAATCCAATTACTAATAGCTCCAAGTTACTCTCGGTTTGATAAAATGTCGCATCTAATGCATCCTTGACATTTTATCTCTTTTGCCACGACATCTAAGGACTCCTTACTGATATCGTTGAGCTTAACTAAGACAACTTGTATACCTAGTATACCTTACGTTCCTAGGGAAGTAGTGATGTCCCGCTTTGGCGTAGTCCATCACGTACACGCATTAGTTCGGTAAGTGTTGTTCTTGGAACAACAAATTTTAGCTCAATATTATTAAGGGACCTAGGGTTTCTATGTTGGTTGATTTAAGTGAACTTAACTAATCGTCGCAACATATAGAAATCCTAGACATGCATCTAGCAATCATATATAACAACAATATATATAAAGCATGAAATAGATGCATTTGGCAACTAGCATGACCCCTTGAAATCTTCAATTTCCATGGGTCTTCATCTTGGCCCGTCTTCATCGAAACGCCGTCTTGAGACATCTTGGCCAAAATAAATTAAGCTAGCTAGAACGACTAAGATTAATCTAATAGCACAAAAATACTTAATGGTTCGCAGACCGTATTTAGATTTAAAAAAATACATAACAGAACGCAGTCCGTATTTTCTATCCTAGTCGGACCCCACTAGTTGCCATTTTCAATAACCTGTTTTGAAAACAATCTCCCATTCACCCATTCACTATTTGTGAATGGCCCATGCAATTTTACGAAATACATAATTAAACAAGCAAAACTAGCAACTAACTTAGGTGGTTAATCCGATTAACGCACCTAATTAAAACTAGTCAAAGTTGTTTAATCCATTATTTCTAAAAGCAAAATGCTCACGCAATAAATTATGCTCCCACTAAATTACGCATCCATACTTAATTAATCCGATTAATTAAGTTGGCATAACCCAAAAATCGTCAAAATTTTGCAAAACCAAAATCGAGGTTTTTAACCTTGTTAAAATAATCACTTAAAATTATTAAAACTGGAAAAATTGCAAAATCATAGCTCAAACATTAAACAAAACGTCCCACTAAAACCCTTAGTGGGTGCGCACCATGGCTGCTACGCAGCCCATGGCCCTACGCCATGGTGCGTGGTGCTGCTCTGCTGTGCCCAGCAAGCCTCGCTGCTTAGCATCAGCAGCCTGCTAGCATGTTGCGCATGCTTGCTAGCGAGCTGGTGCCTTCCAGCATATAGCGCGCTGGGCTGGCTCCTGCTAGCATGCTGCCAGCCAGCATCCACAGGCAGCCCTTGCCTAGCCTTAGCCCCACGCAATGCTGCCCCCAGCAACCTCCCTGCCACACAGCCACGCGCATTGGTGCAATGCCCTTGCGTGCACCATAGGCAGCCTACATGTGGGCTGCTGGGCAGCCGGCTAGCCCTGGTGACGCTTGCGGTTTTGCATCGATTTGCGTGCATTTCCTCGAAATTTTAATTCCGATTTGTGTGTGACATGATTAATTCTAAATTACATTTTAGGATTAAATTGAGGAAAAATAAAATAAAATAAAAAAACACTTAAATAAACTTTTTTTTTATTTTTATTTTTTATTGGTGCACAAGCATAAATTATCCAAAAATCTTAATTTTTTGAACAAAATTAGGTCTTTTTTTATGCTTAAAATAAAATGAGCTATGTCCATATTTAATCTTGCCCATTTGCAAATTAATAATGGATTTGACAACTGGGAAATGGAAAAATAAACTGATCATCTAATGAAATTTTTTTTCCAACTTTCATACTTGTGTAAAATACCAAGATTATATCTTCTAATATGAAGATTAATCAAATTTTACTCACAAGTATTTGAACTTGATGGATTTTAATCAACCAAACATGAAAAATCCAAACTTTTTTCAATATGGAATTTAGGGTTAGGGTTCCAATCGTTTAAACCTTTAAAGATTAGAACTTTTACATTATAGGAACTTAAAATTACACGTTCACAACAAGCTTTCACATTTTATTGCAATTTATTTGCAAAATTTGTGAAATACAAGTTTACGTGAAAAATGGTATATCAACTTAAACACTAATAAAAACTCCATTATTATGCTTAAGGATATTTTTAAAACCAGTAGATTAGTGATGCAAATGTGCATTTAATCTAACCTTGTAATGCTTGCATTAATCAAGGCTTAAAAAGAATTAAAATTTTCGTTGAAAAACGAAAAACCCCAGAAAAAATGGGTTTCTGGTTCGAATTTGGCTTCAAGATAGTCCTCAAAGGGGGTTGAATTTATTCCAGAATGTCGATTCCACGCAAAAATCACTATTTTTGAGCCAAAATCTGGGTTCGACAGCCAAATCGAGAATAAAACCGAGTTTTAAAATTAATTAAAACGAGCATCTAATCTAATTAAAAGAACATGAACCAGAAAAATAAATTATTTTAAAACACCTTAATTAAAAAATTAATTGCAAAAATTAAAAGGAGCGTGGCTCCGATACCGCTGTAGGGTTTCGTAGTGACCCGACACTACGCGGAAGGAAACCCCCAAGACCCGCCCCTTAATTAAAGCAATTAACAAGCATAATAAACTTAATCAAGCAAGACTAAGAACAAGAATTATATCTTTGTTGCGTGCTTCGCTCCCAAAGAGATCTTACTTCAAAATCCCAAAACTACGAGATCTCCGACGGATCGTACCCTCGACCCGACCCAAGCGTCCTAAGTCTTGAAGGTTAGTCAAGACCCGGACTTCATTTCCCAACCAATGTGGGAGAATGAATAATTTTGATAATTAATTAATTTCCAAAATAATTAATAATTAAATTAAATCACAATGCAACAAGTGTCAAGGGGAGAGAGAAGGTTAGGTGAGGACCATGAAGAAGTGAGGGGGGGGGGACCATTGCGTTGCTCCCCAAGGCTTTGCCCAAGCCTTGCTCCCCACCCCTCACAAAACCGCCTTAAGCAAGGGGCTGCTGGGCTGCTGCCAGCTAGCACGCCAGCTAGCAGTGCCAGCTAGCCCAGCCAGCAGCCTCGCATCCCAGCCAGGCAGTGCATGCTTGGTGCTGGGCGATGCTTGGCGTTGGTGCGTGCTAGTGCTGGCCCTCGCCTCTCTCGCACATGCTCACATAACCAGCATGCGTGCTGCTAGCGAGCCATGCATGCTGGCCCCCTTGCCTCGCCAGCCACACGCACCACTCTCGCACTACGCATCAGCCTTGCACCACGCACCACCCTCGCACCCCACGCACATGAGCCACACGCATTGCTAGCCCAGCCAGTGCGCCTACGCATGTAAGGGCCTAGCATGCGTGTTGGGCTATGCTGCCAGGCACCCTCGCACTAGCACATATCAGCCAGTGCCTAGCAGTGCTATGCTTGGTGCGACGCATGCACACTCGCAAATGCACATGCGCAAATGCCTAACACTGCGATGGTTGTGCTTGGTGCGTGTGTGGCCCTGCCATGTGCACCCAGGCATCCAGGCAAGCACGTTGTTGTGCTTCGATGGGATGCCTGGTGCTCCTGGTGCTTGCGATAGGCAGCGATGGTGCCCAGGCATCATGATAGGGCTGCGATAGCGCCTAGGCATGATGCTAGGGTTGCGATGGTGTGCCCAGGCTGCGATGGTGCACCCAGGCTTCGATGGTGCGCCTAGGCTTGCGCCTAGCCATGCTAGGTTCATGCTAGTTCGAACTAGCCTAGCATCCACATGGTTAGACCACTATGGTGCTACGGCTACGCTCGTACTTGTCGCTTGTGATTTTGCGACGCTCGTTCTCGACGCCCTAGGCTCGATATCCGACGTCAGTATTCGTAAAACTCTGTCGACTCATTAAATCCTTTCGGATTAATTCGTCTTCTCGGATCGGTGATTCGATTGGGTTCGACCCGAAGGGTTCAGTTAAGATTAAGCTGTAATATCAATTGTGCCTTGATATTACTGATCGGAAGCGGCCTCCACCTAGGCATTCCGATCACTTGATCTTACTGAAGAATTAACTCTGTAATAGTTTTGAACCCTCTATCGGAAGAATACACTTGTTGGAAGGACACCATTCCTTTCAAAAATGCACAGGAAACTTCAATTGCAAGAACTGGAGGAAATTCGTCATGATATTTACGAGAATGCGAGAATGTATAAGGAGAAGACTAAGGCATTCCATGATCAGTGTATCACACGAAAGACATTTATAGTTGGGCAGAAAGTTCTCCTATATCATTCTCGACTCAAACTCTTTCCTGGAAAACTCCGTTCTCGATGGGTAGGACCGTTTGTTGTTACCAAGGTATATGACCATGGTGTGGTGGAGATTCGTAGTGATGGCACAGGGAAGGAATTCAAGGTGAACGATCATCGACTCAAGCCGTACTATGAGGGTTATCAGGCCCAAAATATTGAAGTGATGGAGTTAGAAGCTCCAAACTATGAAGACTAGTAGGCTAGAAAGACGTCGAGCTAACGACGATAACTAAAGCGCTCTTGGGAGGCAGCCCAAGTTTAGGAGTACAGCATGATCGTTTTTTATTTTTATTGTCATCATTTTATTTTAACTGTTATGTAGTGTAAAATGTGTAAAAAAAAATAAAAAGAAAAAGAGAAAGAGAGCTTCTAGATTTCTTATATGCTTATTTTCAAATCCTTCAGACCTTTGGGAAGAGACACATTTAATTTGCTTGGTTAAACCTGGTATTGTTTGTTACAGGCCATGCTTCATAGCGCACAAGCATTTGCCAACTGATTCAAATATGTGAAACACTTCTCTGGTAACATATGACATTGATGTGGATATGTTTCAGCATCCTGGGAACATGCAACAAGAATATTGAGGTTGGAATTAGGGCTGGAATTCGAAAGCTTTGCTTTTATTTTCTGGTCTGGCAAAGCTGCAGCATCGAAATAGCAATGAGGAAGCACAGAGCAGCGAGAAACATCATACTAGAAATAGTGAGGCAGCAGATCTTAAGCTAAGCAGTGGAAGTAGCGGCAGAGTAATCAGACCTATTGGCCACCTAAGATAATGCAAGATTCATCAAGGGAACATGATTGAAGAGAACATTTTCTGCCAATAGATTGTTCACATTTGCTAAGGTTTAAGCTTGGGGTGGGGGGGGGGGGGGAGACTAGGCAGGCTAGCCACACAATAAGCAATATTCAACTTCACCCGGTGAGCTCGATTCCCTGTCACTTTCTATATATATATATATATATTTATTTTTTCCCCCTTCATCCTTCTGTTATTATTTTTTATTTTATTTACTTTTTTTTTCTTTTCTTTGAGTAGCACAATGAGGGCAATGTGTGAATTAAGCTTGGGGGGATGTATTATATTCGGTCTCTTGCGGTCTCTTGGTATGTCTCTAGGGTGGTATGGTATTATATTGAGGCGAATAATAGAATTTGGACAGTGCATTGCATATAAACAGTATATTCACTCTATAATTCTTAACTTTGGCTAATAGACTTGTATATATTTCCAAAAATAAAAAAAAATTAAAAAATTGATTCTGTAAACAATAGTTAGCCTGGTGGAAGTCAGCTTGTAATGGGGTAAAAAGAAAGAAATGAGTTAGGCGTCAAAGTTTTACACCACATAAGCCAAAAAGCTTATCCGTAACATGATTCATTATTAAACACAATTTGAGCTTTATAGACCTACTTTTCTTGCAGAATGTCTGAAACATGAAATACTTACCTATAAGATTAGTAGAGCATTTCGAAGGACAAATTGGATTATGGTTGTGGTAATGATGTAAGGTGGTAAAGTTTATATTTTTAAAAGTTTCATGTTAAAGGCTCTATGTACCAATATATGGGTTTAAAAAAAAATAAAAAAATAAAAAAAAAGAACGGAACCCATATAAGTGCGTGTGATGTTTTATGTATCGTGATTGAGTAACTCGAGTTAGTAAATCCGTAGGGGTATCTTAAAACCTAGTGTCTTGGGCCAACTGGACCGGGAGTCACTGGTTGAAAGCTCGCTACATGGGTTATTTGGAAGGTACTTGACATTAAGAGTCATGAAACACGTTAAAAAAAATTAAATAAATAAAAAAATAAAAAAATGCATGAAGTCAAGGGCTCTGAGATGAAATCTTATGTTGTGTTTGTTGTGTTGATTTGCTATGCTAATCTTAATATTTATTACCACACTCCAAAACACTCTCTAAATCTCGTTGTACCTTTGACACCACTGCATCCTTTTTTAAGTCCTAAGGATCTTTGAGTTACTCCACTACATTGTTGACGGAAGCTAGGCTGTAATTGTTTAAGACTTGGTATTTTGGTTCATAAATTCTTGAAATTAATTTTCCACCTGCATATATATACTTGACTTGAAGCTGTCATTGAGCAAAGTAAAGGAATTATAACATGTTAGGTTGCATATTGTTATATCAAGAGTCTAGTTCTTTTGTAATTTCATGTCTTTGCTTGAGGACAAGCAAAATAATAAGCTTGGGGGAGTTTGATAAAGCCATAAAAGTATATTATTTTGTTTCATTAAACTCTCGATTTTATATTGATATTTAATGGTTTAATGATATATTAAGTAATTTTCTTCCGGAAGCACATACTACTACTATTGTATTTATTTGTGTGTAGGAAAGAAAATATGGGCACAAATTGCATATTACGACACTCCGGAAGAGAAGCAAAGTTTACAAGTCCATTGACTCTCAACTATTTCAAGCCCAATCTTGTTTTATTGTGTAAGCTATTACAGTTGGGCCTTGAAGTATAACAAACTGTCACACAACATATTAGAAAGAAGAGAGCAGCTCAAACTCTTGATTGTCTCAATGTTCTTGCGGGTAAGCCAAAGAGTAAATCCCTTGAGCGAGATTGACGGTTATCAAATTGTCAAGCAAGAAAAGATAGAGATGAAATCAGATAAGGATGAGAGCATTCAGGATCAAAGATTTCCGGTGATAAGATTGGGATGCCGAATGGGAAGGAGAAGGCGTTTTTTAGATTGGAAGATTTACATAATTTTGTGCTGTTTTTGGGGGGTACCGAATCAGGGGGATTCTAGAGAAGCCGAATTGCATGATAGAGGAGGTATTACTCTGGACAGCTAATTCAGCCACAACCCAGAAAATAAACTCAGTACAGCAGCGGAGAGTAGTAGCGGTGAAGTAGGTAGTTTACCTGGGTGCTAGTTGTTCGTGGCTGCTCTCCCATTTTCCATTCTAGAAATTGGTACTATGAATTAAACTGTTAGTTTGCAGTTTTGCATGTAGTACTTAGCAGTTGATGAATTGGTTCAATTAAGTAATATAATTTGATATTTTATTTTTGTTTTCTTTGTTCCGTTTTTATCATGTTAGGTGGTAGTTTCAAGTATTGATTTATAGTTGTTGACTTTCATTTTCTTATATTCTTTAAGAAATATGATATATATATATATATATATATATATATATATATATATATATATATATATATATATATATATATATATCTTCCATTGTCATTATCTCAGTTTTGAGTATGTTAGGCTAGATTTAATACGGGTACGGAGATATATTATACATTGGATTATTGTGTTGTGAGAATAAGAATGGGGGTACTTTGATAGTAGTATGTTTATTTCTTGATTGGATTGGTATTCTATATAATTGATATGAACTGTCAGATTATATTACAGACCGGCCATCTTTAGTATAATTTGTTAGTTTAATTGCTAGAGTATTATCTTATTATTCGTAATTGTCCGGGTTAGTACTCCTTAGTAACACTTAGATATTTGATAGGTGACTAAAACTTGTACGATGCCTATGATTACCAACCCTTTAAGTTGCATGAATCCGAGCTTGTGAGATTTGTGGTTTAAGTTAGCTACTTCCTAATTATTAATGCTACTAATTAATCGAGTCTAGAGAGCTTGTTCTAGATTGTTAGTTAGTTAGACAATATTCCAAGAACGTGTTTGGTTTATTTGCAATTAAGGGAAGTTTTGAATAATAGTTGGTGTTCATTAGTTAACATCAAGATATATGCATGATTTATGTAATTCGATTAACAATTGGTATTCCAATGCTATGATATATCTCCTAATCCCTATTTTTTCATTCTTGATTTTGATCATTTAATTTTTTCAGTTAATTTCTCCGTACTCATTTTGTTTTCGAGTCCATAGTTTATATTTTAGATCATTTAAGTCCATCTTTAAAACAGGGGTTTCTAACATTCGCAAGGAATAATTTGATAAATCCAATTCTCTGTGGGATCGACCCTAGCTTACCCTACTACATTTTAGGAGGTTTTAGTTAAGTTTATTTTTGGTAGACACGCGACAGTCGTACTAGGTGCCGACTCCCTTAACAGAGTTCCTGTCCTTAGCAGGGATGGCCTTGGCCATGTGGACCAGGTCCGGCTCTTGAGGGGCGTCTGCAAAGAGAACTGATTAAGTGTGACGCATAAAAACAGACAGCAAGCCGCCTGGAATCAGAGAAGTTGGTTGTTTGATCAAACTTTGGAAATTTGAGTAAGTTATACTTGTGGCCACGTCCTTTTCCCTTAGGGGCTGTCTGCTCCCGGGGGTGGCTGGAGTCCTCACCTCACTTTGGGGAGCCCTACCTTGCCTTCCAGCCGACTGTCTCCTAGCACTGCTAGGAGTCGGCAATTCCCCTGTCGTCTGTTTTTGACGTTTGGGGTCCGGCTGAGCTGAGGAGGATGGTCTGACAGTGCCGCTCTGTAACAAGATAATGAATAAAAAACAGGAGATAAAAAGTGATTGCCGAAGTAAAAAGAAGGGAAATTGTGTCAAGTAAAGAAACTCACCCTACGCGCCTGTTTGGCAGGCGACTCCTTTGTAGACCGTTTGCCAAGAACGGCTGCGCGAAGTTGGGAAGCTATCTTTTTGGAGGTCGGGATCTTTTCCATTGCTTTATTTGCAAAAGATTAATCAGATGGTTTAACACAAAAATAAATCAAGTATATCATGACATGCTAAACAGTCGATCCTCTACCTCTCGGCATCTCTTCGCTAAGGCCGCAGGTGGCCAAGTACTTCCTATCGTATAACCATTTATAATTTGGGATGTAGTTTTGAGGGACAAACTCCCTCTCCCCAGTTTCAGGGTTCGCCTATATGTACACTTTGAAGAGCCCTCTATTTAGGATCTCTTCCTTAGCTTGACGAGGAACATGCGGCAGGTCCAATCCGCCTGTCAGGAAAGGTGGATCCCTGTTCCACCTATTGTATTTTCTATTGTCAGGGTAGGATACTATGTAGAAGGTGTTCCTCCAATCCTTCCACTTGTTCTCCTTCCCCATGGTCATCATATAGCCTTTATGGCTAGAAATTTGATACCAGCCGGTACCGCTTGTTTTGGGGGTCAGGTTAAGGTAATTCATGTGAGCAAAAGCTTCAAAGCTTGGCTCTATGACGAGCGCTAAATCGGTCGCACAATTTAGGCTCATTCAAACACATTT